CTCTCCCTCGCAGTCGCGTGTCCCTCCCTCCGCTCCCGGTTGCAGTCGCACCCTCCCTCTCTCAATCTCTTCTCTTCCTCACTTCTCTTGGAGGTGGTGGTCGAGGGCCGGCCTTCCTTAGCGGTACGGCATCGCCGGCACAGCGTCGCTGGTGCGAAGGCGCAGCGCGGCAGCGGCACGGCCACGTGGGCGCGGAGGCGCAGTCTCACGGGCACGGACGAGCGGGCTCATGGGCACGGCGACGGCCCGGCCCTCCCCTCCCCTCCCTCCTGGTGGCAAGGCTCTCCTCTACCGGCAGGCAGCATGGTGGGCGGCCGGATCTCGGCAGGTGGGCCGCTCGCCTTCCCCCTCCACCTTTAGATGCGGCGGCGAGCGGCTCGATCCAGCGGCGGTGTCCGGATTCGGTGGTGGAGGCCGGATCCCGGCGGTGGGAGGTTGGATCCGGCGGCAGGTGGCGGATCCCGTGGATGGGCTCGGCGGGCTTATCCACTGGTTTTCTTTTTTTGTTTTTCTGTTTGATTTACTAAGGCGGGCAGTAATCCGCCTCGGTAAATAATTGATTAATGGCGACCTTTGGGCCGAGGCGTTTGTGATGCCCGCCATGCCTCAGGCTCGGCGAGCCCTGAGCACTCTCTGAGCTATCCAGGACTCCGAGCCCTTCGGCGGCGCCGTTACATGAAGCCACCGCATCCATGACCTTCAGTTTCCAAAACCACCGTGCACCACCAATACTTGCGGGCAACCTGCAGCGTAACTAGCCATGTGATGTGAAGCCAACACACCTTTTTCCCACCGAGAGCTCAGCGGAGGCGAATCTAGCCAACTGTTCTTCGGCTTTTCACGGTGCGCCGTCAATCTGCTAGTAGCCCGGTGTCCAACATGGCTACACGGTTGGTTTTCTCTACCACGACCTAGCAACGGATCTCGCTATGTAGTGCTCTGGCTGCCCACCTGCCTGCTGGGTTTGTGAAAGCGCATGTTGCAAGTGTATGTTTCAAGTGTTTCAGATGTTAAATAGGTATGTTGCAAGTGTTTGATATGGATGTTGCAAAAGTAGATCGGGATGTTGCATATGTTGCAATGGCTATACACGTATGTTGCAAGCGTCTGTTTCAAATGTTTCATCTGTTTTTTCAGATGTATGTTGCAAATGTATTTACCAGGATGTTGCATATGTTTCATACATATGTTGCAAGTATTTTATCCGGATGTTGAATATGTTTTTGTAATGGCTTTCCAAGTGTCTTTTGTTTTTTGCAAGTGTTTCAGACGCATATTTGAAGTGTTTCATCTGTCTTTAGACGTATGTTGCAAATGTTCCATCTAGATGTTTCAAAAGTAGATCGGATGTTGCACAAGTTGTTATGACGCCGGTGGCTGGCAGACAGCGGCAGGCTCCTTCCTCGTGCGGCACGCCTCTCTCTCTCCTCTCCTCTCCCTCCCCTCCCTTCCCCCTCTTCCCTTCCGTTCCCTCCATCTCGACGCGGTAGTTCAAGCTCTGTGAGCATGATCCCCACAGATGTGGTAGCCCGATGAGCATGTGGAGGTGGTGGCATCGGGTAGGCCGACGGTGGGCGCGATGCTCGCGTGGTGGCCCCATAGCAAGCTGGCGACTAGACATGAGCATCCGTCTGGGCGTCCGGGCACTTGTCCTGCCATTTTAACTTCCCTCCTTTTCTTTTTTCTTTGCTTGCAGCTATAGATTGTCTATCCAATTGAGGAGCAATAACTAAGCAGGAAGAATCTTCATAACTCGAATCGTTTATGCTTACAATCTACCTTGCACAAATGATTTTTCCTTTGTTTTGTGAGGGTATTTTGGTAACAAATGTTATATCCCAAAACCAAACCCACCAAATACCAAACAAGGAAAATTGATCAAATTACCATATCCCTACGAAACCCTGAAATGTCTAATGGCTAGAGGGGGGTGAATATCCTATTAAAAATTCTACAACAACACTAAAGTCAAGTGGTTAGACAATTATGAGGTGAAGCAAGTGTTGCACTAGCCTACTAAAAATGCAAGCCACCTAACCACAATTCTAGTTGCTATAGTCTCTATGTCACACTCAAGGCTAGGTCACTACCACTAAGTTAGTAAGATCTCAAAGACTAACTAAAGAACTTCACTAACCAAACTAGATAAGACACAAGCTAGCTCTCAAAACTAGTTACACTAAAGAGCTTAGCTACACTAAGAAAGTAAATACAAGAGAGGTAGCGAAATTTATACCGCCGTGGCAAGAGATGATCAATCAATCAAAAAGAAATCCGGAGATAATGATGACACAATGATTTTTCTCCGAGGTTCGCTTGCTTGCCAGCAAGTTAGTCCCTATTGTGGCGATTCACTCACTTGGAGGTTCACGTGCTATTAGACATCACACGCCTAACCCACAATTGGGTGCCGCACAACCAACACAAGATGAGGATCCACAAGCCACACGCAATCCACTAGAGTACCTTTTGGCTCTCCGGCGGCAAAAGGTCAAGAACCCCTCACAATCACCACGATCGGAGCCGGAGACAAGCGTCACCCTCCTCTCGACGATCCTCACTGCACCAAGATGTCTAGGTGGCAGCAACCACCAAGAGTAATAAGAGAAATCCACAGCGAAATACAATCACCAAGTGCCTCTAGATGCAATCACTTAAATCAATGCACTTGGATGCTCTCAAATCTCACTAGATGATGATCCAATCAAGCAAGGTGAGTTAGAGAGTGTCGGCTATGCTCACTAGTGTGTATTCTCAATACAAACAGCAAGAGAGTGAGCCCAAGCCAGCCAAGGGCTTAAATAGAAGCCCCCACAAAATAGAGCCGTTAGGCTCAACATAGAGACTTTTGCGCGTTGACCGGACACGTCGATCAGATCAACCGGATGCATCGGTCTCAGCGTCCGGTCCTCGGATTCGTGCCATGTGTCACTGAGGTTTAACTGCGTTTTTGTTGATTTTCAACGATTAGATACACCCGTGCCCGCACTTAAGTGATGATCGGACACAGCCGAGCAGGACCGGACGCACCAGCGTCGCGTCCGCTCACCCTCGCACCCGCTCAGCCAATGCCATGACCGGACGCACTGCTTCGCCACCTGACGCTTCGACACCGTGGAGTCAGGTCAATTCCAGAGAGGGTCTAGAGCCGGCAAAACATGACCGGACGCGTCAGATCGGCCATGGCAGGACGCTCCCGTGCGTCCGATGCCCTCTGGCCAGCTTCAGTGCCCAACGTCATCGTACGTCACAGACCGAGAGCGTGCCTTCACTGCACGCCATTGATCGGACATGGCTGCTAAGTCCGGTCGCTGCCAGAGCAGCATCCGATCACCTCAAGACAACCCCTTTTCTTTTCCAACTTCTCCACCCTTGCTCAAATGTGCTAACCACCACGTGTATCACCTTGTGCACGTGTGTTAGCAACTTTTCACAAACGTTTTTAAGGGTGTTAGCACTCACTAGAATCTAAATGCATATGCAATGAATTAGAACATGTAGTGGCACTTTGATAACCGCATTTCACGACGAGTTTCACCCTTCTCATGGCTATCTATCCTAAATGTGATCACACTCACTAAGTGTCTTGATCACCAAAACAAAATGGCCCTATGGATATCACCTTTGCCTTGAGCCCATTTTGTTTTTCTCTTTCTTCTTTTCCAAGTTCGGAGCTTGATTATCATCACTTCATTTCATGTGGCCATCTCCATCCATGAGTGTCACTTAGCTCCATCACTTGGGTTGGACCAACCTATCTCAAATCCACACTTAGAGCATAGGGTTAGTCCAAATAGGTTTTATCAATTATCCAAAACCAAACTAGGGCTTTCAAACCCTCCTATATTTATAACCCATCACATATCCCAATCCCGAACCCAGAGCCTATCCAAACACAACCAAAAGATTCAACCTTATGAAACATGGCAAATCCTAACTATTTCTCACTAGAAACATTTCGATTGTTGCCATTACTAATGAATGCATTTCTTTGTTGAGTAACACTAATACTTAAGGTCGCACTTTTACCAGTTATGGAGCTCATGAAATTCTCATGCCTAGGCCCAACATTTAGACATCAAAACCACCTGCTGCACCAAGTCAAACACCAACAGAAAAAATAATAAGAAACGTATAGTATACAATGCATTATATGTATTATATTTGAATTCACACTTAATTGAACATAAAATTTGATGAAAACATTTAAGATGAAAGTGAAAGAAATATCTAACTAATGATGATGTGAACCCAAAGATACACCTACAAGTTGGTTATATTTTTATAAATGGACATGCAATATATTTGCAAATAAAATATAATTAATAAATGGGGATTTACCCATCAAAATTTGACATCAAGGTAACAAATTTATGGGATGCCGACTGGTGAGTCGTGCACCATGTGTGCTCTCCATGCAATATGCAAGAGCCCATAGGTGGAAACATGGAGAGGTTGTTGATGCATTGTCGGCGCAGGCAGTGCTGTTTAGCCCGAGCAAGCCACTCTCATGCCTGCCACGTGATTTGTCCATGCCACCGCTTGCTTGGATTCGGACGTGGAGTTGTCAATGATGGAGAGATAAACCACCGAGATGAGTTGGGAAAGGGCCTTTGTCATCAGTTTGTTGGGCCAACCAAATCTACAGAGATGTGACTAGGGCCTGCTCGACTAGGCCATCAAAATCTAAGTGAGCTTACTTGAACCTCTTTTGCACATTGATAAAAAATTCAGGGGCACTTTGACAAAGGGGCCCTAGGCTCATATGCACCCCTGACTTCAATCAAAGTGCAAAAAAAATGTGAGCACCACAAACTACATCCCCATGAATGTAACATGAAGACATCACATATCACAAACAAAATTGAAATTTTTATTTCAATGCATAATACCAACTATTCACCATTGCATTAGTAATGCAAGACATTACAACCAAGTTATTTGGAGCCGCACGGTGATAAGAATGACAAAATGCTACCTTTATTCTTCTCATCAGCCTATCAGCCCATTAGACTACGAGCCAAGTTATTCAGGCCCTCGTTAAAGGATGCTTGCAGCTGTGACACAGAAACGCGGATCTTCACCAGCTCATCCATCAGTCTATCAGCCTCGGCATCTTTGTTGCGCCCTGCTTCCTCAGCAGCTTCCTTGCTGGCGTGGATTTCCTCTATCTTCCTCTTGAGGCTCTCTACTTCCTTCATCAATTTTGCCTTCTCAGTGTCAAAAGACTTCACAGCTATCTCCTCGCTCTCTGCCAAAGTGGACCAAGTCCATCTTCTTTCACCTCTAATTCAGACATGGCATGTTTATGCTCTCGCTATTAAAATCAAACGAAGCTTATCCTTTTCTCCCTCCACCAAATCCTTCTTGGTTTGATTTCCTCCACCTTCCTCTTAAGACCCCCAATTCCTTCATGATTTTTGCTTTCGGCGTCAAATGCCTTTCACCGCCTCCTTGCCTCAACTAATACACCAAATTCCATCTTAAGGCTCTTAGCCTCCGCTTGGACATCTTGTTTTCGCTCTACGGTCAAAACCTCCCTCAAGCTTGTCATTTTCACCCTCAACAAATCCTTGTTGATTTTGGAATTCCTCCACCTTCCTCTTAAGATCCTCTACTTCCTTTCAGATCCTTCTGGCTTTCAAGCATCAAACTCCTTCGCAAGAACCTCCTTGGCCTCCTCTCGAACCCAATTCCATCTTGAGGCTCTTAACCTCTGCTTCAAATGGACTATGCTCCTGCTCTGCAGTCAAAATCTTCGATCGAAGCTCCTGATTTTGACTCTCCACCGAATCCTTGTTGGCCTGGATTTCCTCTATTTTCCTCTTAAGGTTGTCCATTTCCTTCATGACTTCTACCTTCTCAGCTTCAGATGTCTTTGCCGCTGCCTCCTTTGCCTCCACCAATGCACCCACTACTTGCTTAAGGCACTTAACCTCTGCTTCAGACTGCCTACATTTCTCCTCCGCTACGAAAACCTCGGACCGAACCTTATCATTTTCTCCCTCCAAAAAATCCTTATTTGTTTGGATTTCCTTCAGCTTCCTCTTAAGATCCTCTAATTCCTTGGTGATTTCTGCATTTTTTGCATCAAATGCCTTCGCAGCCACCTCCTTTGCCTCCACCAACCCACTCAGTTCCATCTTGAGCCTCTCAATCTCTGCTTCAGACATGTTTTGCTTTTCCTCTGTGATCAGAGCCTCCGACTGATGCTTGTCATTTTCACTCTCTGCCAAATCCTTGATGGCCTGAATTTCCTCCAGCCTCCTCTTGCGATCCTCTAATTCTAGGATGATTATCTCATAATTAAACTCATAGTCAGCTGCCTCTTTTGCCTCCGCCAGCGCGCCTAATTCCTTCATCAGCATCTCAACCTCTGCTTCAGACTTGCTACATTTTTCCTCTGCGACCAAAACCTCCGACTGAAGCTTATCATTTTCAGACTTGCTACATTTTTCCTCTGCGACCAAAACCTCCGACCGAAGCTTATCATTTTCAGCCTTGAAGCTTCTCTCCACCTCTTCCTTGTGGCTTGAGATCGCCTTTGTCTCCTCCAATTGCTTCTCCAGCTGGGTAATTTTGTGCTCCGGTTCCCACACCCTGTCCCCAAGTGTGGAGACCTGGTGCGATAGGGTCCTCACCCTGTCATCTGTGAAGAGATCTGCAACATGCGTACTGTACGTTTTAGAGGAGAGAGCTGGCACACACACACACTAAGTACTGTGCAGATAGAAAAGGAAAGATGATGACTTGGCACACACCGGCAAACCAAGGCGCGGTCGGCGACGACATGTCTGTCGGCTGTCGCTGTTGTCACGCACTTGTCGGAGGAATAGAAGATGCCTAGCTGTCTCGCTGTGCACAGCCGGAGCAGAGGAATATATACCTGCTGAAGCTGCCTCAGCTTGGTAGGGCAACAACTGAATATATACAGACGGAGGAGAGGATGAAGTGTCCATGACTCCATGAGCCAGAGGGAAGAAGCGTGTGGAGACAAGGGAGGGGATGGAGTGTGGGTGCAGAGGAGAGATGGAGTGTCGGTGGGGAAGAGGGATGGGTATATTCTGACTATCTAGTAACGAACGACCTCTCATGGGAAATTTAAAATTTAAAGCCGCAGGGATCGGCCATCAGTAACTGCAGTCGCAAGGCATCATTTTTTTTTCTTTCCTTTTTGCAACAGTGCTCGATCGCGTATTCTTGTTGCTCCCGTTGCAAGAATTCAGAGGACAGAACGGTTAGATTCCTTGGCTCCTTGCAACTCCCAAGGTAATGTACTACTAGTACCTCTTTTCTCTTTTTTTTATAATCTATAAGAAAAAACAAGCAACAATTTTTGACAACGCATTATTCATATTTATATAGTGCATCATGGATGGATCTTGTAGTAGTCAATCGGGGCTTCGGAGCTGGAGTTTGTAAAATTTCCGTGTCCAAACGGGGCAGGTACGGTCCTTCCATAATTCCACAGGCACTGACCACTGAGGCGAAGACGGTCCGCATATAGTTCCCAAACAAATAATTGGTAGATGGATGAGTTTTTCAAGTGCCTAAAAAAGTTAGAAGCACAGTTTTCAAAATATCGATCCTAAAATATAGAAGACAATTTTAAATCATCAATCTTGAACTATTTTTACATTATCCTAACAACTTTTATATTTTCTTTCTCTCGCATATTTGCATGAGCATCTTATTATTTTCAACGTCCTTTCACCTTTCTATTGGTCGATGGGTCTCGTATCGTAATGCTCGTAACAGAACCGTCCAATTTATAAGAGCACAAGTACAATGGCAGCCCGCAAATGATTGCATTATCATACTTGAGCAAATATAAACCCGGTAGTCCGTCGAGTACCACGAAGGGTCTCAATTCATCGCTAACATACAACCAAGATCGTTCATGATTCAACATACATGCCACATGTTACATAGAGTTCACAAATACATTGCCATACATCATAGTATGATTAAAGTTATTACAACCCAAGTTCCAAATAAAGTAATAATAGCGAAAGCAAAGTAGTTTTAAAACCAACATCTCTCACCATTGTTTAATACAAACCAGTTCATGATCACCACCCACAAAAGCATCAGAAATAAGATATATAAGTAGAAGCGCCTTGCCCGGGGCCTACTCCTTGTCCACAGCGGGACAGAAGCAATTCTTAAATAACCATGAAAGACTGTGTTATCTGCAACAAGTGGAAAATAAACCCTGAGTACAAGAAGGTACTCAGGTAGACTTACCCGTCATAAACCAAAAATAAAGTGACTCCAAGGATCATGCAAGGCTTTATAAGTAGAGCTAACTTGACAACATTTTACATAAAAAGCCACTAATTCAGCTATACATTTTTTTAATTCGGTCATCTAGTTAATCATAGCTATTCTCCAAACATATGGTATATTATTTAGTAGTATAACAATAGTAACCATAGCCGGTGTAAGATTTTCATATTCATCATATTCCATAATCCAATTACTACGATGAAGGGCCTCCATCAAGTTTCTCACTATCCGGAAGAAACGGCGATTCGAATCGATTACAACCAGCTGGGTAGTATTCCTAACACAAACCCAGGTAGACGAGATCAACGATCACCTTAGGTGACCTTTGGTACAACTTAGGTCTAATTCGCGGGTTTGATCAGCGCCGCACAATCAAGGACACTACCAGATGCCAGATCGATCAGGACTCTAACCCACTCTTGGCCTCACATCGGCTCCCCGCACATCCTTACTACCTCCACTGTGCACACTCTAACAGAACGGGGCCCAGCCTGAGTTGAACTACTCGGCTTCGCGGTCGGAACGAGTTATCCGGCCATCTAAATGAGATGCATACATTCAAAATGACAAGAGGGCCTCCAACGATGCGGTCCTTAATCGACACAGACGGAATCACATGAGTTCACCTACACATAGACTTCGCTCGGTCTCCAGTTATATTACCACATGGTTCTGTTCCACGATAGCAAATATAGCCAACCGTGCTCTCGGTATCGACCTATATCTCGCAGGTGACAGGAAATCACCCGACTTCTACCGGTCTAAGTATATATTCGATCCTCGACCTATACAGGGTTAAAGGTATATATCTAGACAAGATAGTTCTATGCATCAAGTGTTTCCAAATCAATTCTTACAACCTAATGCATCAAACAGAAAGGACTCAAGTGATATTTTGTAAAACATAGGAGCCTTAAAATGCTCCGGGGCTTGCCTTTCAGGAACGAAGTGGGTCGGTGGTCAGGGCACTCTAGAAGTTCCTCAGTAGCTTGTTCCTCGCCTTCGGGAGTTGCTGGCTATGGTGTCTCCTGATTCTCCTCCGCGTCTTCTTCGAATTCCAGTAGGGCTACTCCTTTGGGCGATCCTATATGTATGAGCATGAAATAAGATATCATGGATGCATAGATAATGACATGGATGATATGATATGATATGATAAAATACATACTCATAAGTGTCCTTAACAGTAATGTATTAAAGTGATAACAAGATGAATTTTCTTTTACTGAGTAGGTGCATATCTCCTCTCTAGTAATTAAACAAACACCTATTTAAATATTTTCTGGGCTGCAAGATAGCAGCCACTTGTTTTGACCATAACTACACATCCAAACAATATGGTTTTGGGCTTTCTAGAAATCTTATAAAATTGTCTAAAACTTCCTTATAATCATCTTAAGATGACTCAGTAGCTATATAGGTCAAATAATTCAATCTTTCAGATCTATCTAGAGGACAAGCAAATCTAACAGCAAAATTTTAAAAGCTATAATTTTCAAACCATTAGGCCTATGACCATGAAATTTTTGGAAAAGCTAGATGAGTAAGTTGTCTACAACTTTGTTATTGACAAGTTTCATAAAAAAGATCATTATCATCATGAATTTGTCATCACAACAGAAATTACTCATGCAGCCATCTAGTTGAATTATAAAACAATAATTAACTAGCTGCCTATAACCAATTAATTCCAAGCACAACTACTAATAATCAACAGATCATATGCATCACAAGCACCATAGAAAACATCATGGTTACGCCCAAATAATTTACTTATGTGCATTAATTAATTTCCTTATATAATAGGGTGATTTAGCGGATAATTATTTTCAATGATCAATAAATTCGCATAAAATTACAGTAGGTTACATAAGATCCCAATAGTCGACTGTACAAATTTCATGCTATTTGGATAAGTATAGCAAACTCTACAAAAATGACAAGTTGCATAGGCTTATTTTAGCAAAAATAGGTTAGCCTAGTGAAAAGTGTCAAACAACAGATTTCATATTTTTCTTACTTTCACCCTAGCTTAAGAACACTATGTAGAAATTTGCATTATGACAAGTTATGTATTTTTACCCCAATTAATTTCACCATAAACTAGCATTTGATTAAGGTGAAATTGGAAGACTGTATTCTAAGTATGTCTACTATAGGTTTAGTATTTTTCCTTGCTAGAGCATTTCAACACAAGACTAACAAAATTGGAATCACAATTTTAGCACCTCTCTAGCTCAAGTTATGCATTTTACAAGATAAAAGCTATTTTAAAAGCACTTAACCAACTTAATTTAATTCACATAGAAAACTACTCCAAACAGTAGGTTTCATATTTTTAACAAATACTACACTACAATATGAATCCAACAAAATTTGGTTCACCCAAATTGGACAACCCTAGCTCAAGATATCAATTTTTGAAGTTTGCATTCAAATCTGTGAGAATAAATCAAGAAAATCATTTCAACTCTGACTGACATCTGGGCCCCGCGGTCAACGGGTCCCACCCGTCAGCGAGACCAGCGTCAGGGTGCGGCCTTGGACTAGCAAGAACTTATCGTCGGTGAGGTCACCGGCGATGAGGTCTTCAACATCGTGCTCCCCACGACACCCCGCGTCGAATGGTACCCATGGTTAGCTTGGCGGTTCACTAGAGAGACCTCACCGGCGAGCATGGCGGCTCGATGGCGATGCGTGGCAGCAGACTCGATGTCTCTGGCGGTGGCACGGTCAGGTAAGCGTGGCTATAGCTTCTACTAAACCTAGCAGAGCTCTACGGTGCAGATCAAGCTACTGTGGCGCGGCCATGAGCTCCGGCCACGTGCATAGAGGCGCGGCGGCGCTTACCGTTCTGACATGACAGTGGTGGGTGATGGGTCTATATCATAGGAGAAGGTTCTAGGGTTCATGGCAGCTCAAAAACAAACACAGGAGGGGGAGGACGGGATCTAGTTAGGGCCGGCCGCGGGAAGCTTGAGCTCGCGGCCATGGCAATCACGCGCGGTGCGGTCACGCATTACCGCGTGGCAGCGGCGGTAGCGGTTAAACCAACTACGACATGAGCATCTACGATCTATGGTGATGACGAACCAATAGAGAAAAAGGTAGGAGCGGTGTATAAGGTTGGCCACGGCGAGCTCGAAGCTCGGCGGTGCTTCGTGGCCATGGCGTGAATGCTCGAACAATGGCAGTGGTGGGTCAGGGTGGTAGAGCTTTTCATGTTAGAGCTATGGGCGAGGTGGATTGGGTGGTGGTGCTGCATGGGCAGCGAGCGCTGCCGGCGGAACTTGGCAATGGAGACGGCGGCGCTCGGCTTTGCTGCTGTGGGCGCGAGAGCGAGCGAGACAGAGCGAGAGCGAGTGAGGGGAGTGAGTGAGGGCAGGGACGCACGGTGACCTCTTCAGCGCGCGCCTAGCCGTGACGTGGCCCAGTCTCGGCATGTGCATGCCACGCAGCAGCCATGGCCTGTGGCTGGTCGGCCACTGCTGCTGCTTGATCGG